TTTGGGAACGAAAGCAAACGAGGAGGTTGGAGCAAGAGGGGCCGACTGCAACGGAGGACGCTTATGTAAATTTTGATCGATCACCATTTAATTGCCGCCGAGGTGGTGCGATCGTGTAATCTGCGACGGTGATGTAAGAGCCGTCGGTTTTTCGGCGCAAAAATTGCGAAAAGCCCACGACATTCGGTTTTTGATCAGCTGCCGGTATTGTTGCGGTTTTTGATTGAACTATGGCCGCTCCAGCTATATTTCTATTTTTTGTGTCTGGCAAAGATATTCACCCCGATGGACTTTTGAACTCACCGAGTAATTCATAAGATGAGTTTTGCAATATCAATGAAGGATGTCCAAGCGTCCGGAAATCGGTGAACTTCATTCTTTAATGACAAACTCTGAGTGAACCGAGCATGAGGATATCCTTGTCGGTCTCTAATTTTAACAATTCAGGAGCTTTCCGCAAAAAGGCGCGTAGCAAAAATCGCGTTTTGAGAAAAATGCATTTGAAGTTTTTATTATCACTCCCTGGTTACATCAGTGACTTGTATCGGAATTTGCACGCTGTTTAGATCAAAATTTATTGACTCTTTTATGAGAAATGACCATTCGTAAAACTTTTGACACATTTTCCTCAAACCGCGATCTTTGTTACAGGCCATTTTTCCGGGAAGCTCTGCAATTATTGTCGGAGTTGATATGACGAAACAACATATTCTGCTATAGTACACAGGAGCTTGAATAGGAAATGTCGTTTGATGATGTCATAACGGGTATAATATTTCCTCACTTTTAAACCTGTTTTTCCACAATTTCTCATATCAGCGAAAAAAATTACTGCGAGAGATTTTCTGAGGAATGCCTAATAGAAATTCGAGTTGCACAATTTTTTATGAAAGCAGAGGCATACACACTGCAGACTCAAACTGAAGTCGGCAAGTGCTTATCTTTCATTGTAACGTTGTAAATTTCCGTCAAGTTTTATTTTTATTCAAACACATTTACGAAAAACCCCAAGGAGATATTATCGTTGTTTTTCTTTGAAAAAATTATAACGTAGTCGGAGATTTTGAAACATTGAAGTGCACATACGCATTTTTGACTTAAGCCGCATTGATATTCATATCTAAAACGCCGATCAAAATTTTCCAAAATCTGCACTCTTTAAGAAACAGCTTTGCAGTTACGTATGTTCATTTTCAGGATAAATCTTACGCTATGCGCTTTTAATTTGTTTTGTTTTGTTACTTTTGTGGAGAACTGAGCGTTTCAGAGGGTATACTTAATTTCAGCATTGCGTAACTTTTAAGTCGCTGCCGTGAGAATTATGCGAGGGCATACTGAGTTATTTTTGCAAGAGCTGAAGATGAAAAATAGATGTGAACTTGATCCTTAAAAGCAACTTGTACCACATGAGATTTATACAGTTTGTCGTCAAGAAAAAAATCTCTAACACGACAAACCTCTCACAAAAACGCGGTAACCGGTTGTTCTTTCGCCCGAGCCCGGAAGCGCAGGAGCCATTAAGCGCAAGACATGAAACGATAGGGAGAAAATTAGCCTCTTAAATTTGAGCGATGATCATTTGGCGCGGTCGGAGAAGGAGCGAAAAGAAGAAGAAAAGAGGGGAAAAATTATTGAAAATAAAATAAAAAACCGGCTGGCGCGCGAATAAATCAGGCCGCAATCACTTATTTTCCGGCAAAGATTACTCTCTCGTATAATAAAGTGGAAGATAAGGAGATAGAAGAGCCTCTGGAAGAGCGGGGAAAATAAGAAAGAAGTTGAATGAGAGAATTGTGGCAAAGAAGGGAGAGGGGGCTTATGAAGTGGGGGAGAGAGCGCTTTCATGATCTTGTAAGTTGGGTTCTCATATTGTGCCAGGAGAGAAAATGAAAGCTCTTTCATTGAAAACTACAAGAGGCATTTCACGGAGGCGACGTCAATTTTTATAAACAGAGCCTTTTTCGTTTAAATTGTAAAAGCAAACATTCGCACACTGTTAATAATATTTGTGTTCTCGTGTTACTTTTGTTTAATATAGGGAGCGAAAAGTAAACTTTGTGTTTATTTTTGGTACAGTTTTCGGTGGATTTAACGTAAAAAACAATGGAGAGACTGGGAAAACTCATTCCTCCGATTGTTGGCTAACCACTCGTTTATTATTACAGTTCCTCAAGAAAACTGGGTAACATTTTCTCTTGAAACTGTCAACCGAAGGCCAGAGTTATTTTATGTTTTACTTCCCGTATTAACCAAACTTTTGTATGCTTTCGTGGTTGCCTTTTGGACACACTATAAGCAAATTTTAAGGATTGAAATAGGCAGAGGAGGACGCCACTTTACTAAATTCGTACAGTTTTCTGGTAGAATAATTCCGCTTAAAACTGTTAAGTCTGAAACAATGTCAATTTTTACGCAATTACGGCTTTTCTCGAGGATCTTAGTTTTGACTATGGAAACAAAACGAATTTTGCTATTACAGCTGAATCAGTGGATTTATATACATCAGACGAGACAAAGGGAGAATTTGCTTCAGGTACCTGAAATTTGATAAGTTTTATGTTTCAATGGAAACTACTGAGTAAACTGCACACGAGGATACCCTTGGTTCAAAAATTGAACAATTATTATTGGAGGAGATATGACAACATGATCTAATATTCTAAAATACATGTGTTTAAATGGAAAATTGACGTCACTGGTGTGACGTCATTAGGCGGTGCAGTTTCTCATTTTAAAATATATTTTCATATTATTATTTACATCAAGAACGAATTATGAAAAATACTGCGAAATCAGCTCTTCAAGCACCGCGAGATGAAGCAATTAAAAATGTACGTGCAAATTCTCCATTAGGAGAGAAACTCGATTTAAAAAATTTGAGCTTTACAACTTGCTTCCGTAATACAAAGCAAATTCATAATCAAAATCTCGTCTTCAACTCAAAAGTACAACAATCCACACAAAATACCGAAGTTTCGGTGGCACCACATGAGTCTAGTGTATTTAAGTTTAACAACTTATTTTTCCTCGTCTGTAATAATTTGCGATCGATTTTCAATTTACTTTATTTCATATTTTTCCTTTCTTAGAGGTTTAGTGCTTATAATTAAAAAAATCTATTGTTTTTACCGCGTTAGGCAACCCATAAAAGGTAAATTTGATACGTACTAGGTATAAGCACCAGGAGGACAGGCAGCCGGCATTGGAGGGGAGCTTTCTGGCGGCGCGGCGCGCGGCGGTGCTGCGATCTTATCGCAAGAGAGGCGTGGTTTGGGACGCCAACACCCCCCCCCCCCCCCCCCCCCCCCCNCGGGGCGGTAGGTTCGCGGTTGGCTTTCGACTTGCGATCCCGCGGCGGATATCCTGTGCCGCTCCCGCGACGCCATTCGGGCTCCGGATCCTGTGCCGGCCCACGTTCATTGGGCACCGAGTCGACCGAGGCGAGAGACTCACGCCTTGCCTCGGGCTCATTCAAAACTTTCCTCCATTCCGCAATAAGGAGCTGACATTTTACACTCATTCTAGAAACAACGTCTAGAATCTACGACCTGTGCTCACTAGAGTACCTTTAAAGTGAGAGCATGCACATGTTATGCCATATGCCACGGAGCTCTTAGAACCCAAAAGAGCGGAGAACCTTTAAAAACGAAAAACAAGACGACGGTTCCAACGTTGGAGAGCATTCACCGTAGCACCTTGTCAATAAGTAAAAGTGGTTTTGCGCGGACGGAAGAGAGCGCTGCAAGACGCTGTTGAACTAAACGAGGAGCGTAACCTAGGAAACATACATATCATAGAGTACATAGAGTCGTAATGTAAATGGGAGAGCTGGCGCCATGTTCTGCTCGACGAATTCCGAGCCCGGTGTGCGCCGAGTTCGAGTCACTTTTTCGATACATTTTCGATCCAAAATGGCGGTGTGGAATACGTGGTGATTCCTATCTCCTTTGTTGTTGTTGTTGTTTTTGTTGTTGTCATCGGATGGCCGGGTACCCGTGTATCGCAAACAATCGATTATGTATCGAAAAAGTGACCCGGCGTCACACAGGAGTCTCGGAATTCGGGACATGGAAAATGCTTAAAAGTGGCGCCAGCTCTCCCACTTACATTACGACTCTACCTACTCTATGATACATACAATAAATGTCTTGTCATCATAGAGTAAAATATAGGGGTCATTAGTGAAGGGGTACTTTGTACCTAAAGATTTTTCTAGAACTCCGACGACAAAAAATTTGAACGATTCTTGAAAGAGCCATTATTAAATAAAAGTATACGTTGCAGAGTTTTAAAACGTAAAGATATTAATTTCTCAAAGACAAGCCTACAGACATTACATAAAGTGGACAAAATAGGAGAAAAAAGGTAGAAATGATTTAAAGAAAATTGAGAAACTAGGTATTCTTTCCCGCGACAAAAAATGGCGCCGATTCCCATGGAGCAGTGCGGGCCTTTACCAATGGATACACCAGTAACATACCCGAAGCAAAATGACGGGAAAGAGCGTTCACTACTAACGTGGTGAACGCTCAATTTGCTAACAAGAAAGGGAGATGAAGGAAGTTTTCAAGAAATTACTCGTACGTTAACTAGGTTTTGAAGAAAAAATGAAGTAGGTATGCCTGCAACGTCGTAGAGGGAGATACGTGGTTTCGCACTTTGGCCATTGGTATTCCTATTCATGTTCCGAAGTATCGCTGATAAAAAATCTTAAATTTACCTTCATTTTTTTTTTTCTAAAATGAAGATTATAGTACTGCTTAATTTAAGCCATTTCTTTGCTCAACCTGGGGAAATCGCTTAAATACATCAAGAGAAATGCTGTATACTTCAGCACGGAAGATTTTTCGGGGCCTACTCTGCAACAAGAAGACGTAATAACAATATGCGTAGCAGTAGAGATTGAACTAGCTTTCTTTAAAAAAAATTAACTCTCAGCAGCATTAAATATGCCATCTCTTCAGATATATGCTTTTAAATATTCAGATGAAAGAACCTACCTTAACTTGTGATTCTGACATTCCTAATGCATACGCTAATTTGGCTCTTTCGGGTCCAGCTAGGTATTTAGTTTGCTCAAACGTTTTTTCCAGGGCGAAAATTTGTTGGCCGCTAAAAGTGGGTCGAGTGTGCTTTTTCTTGCCATCCTTATCGTTATTTGAACTCACTGAAACAAATGAACAAGGTCTCACATCAAAACATTAAACACAGGCACACCGCATAAAAGCATAAAAAACCACAACATTTTAGTCAAAAATTCCAAAAATAATAAACATGAAAAATAAAATAAAAATAATGAAATGAGTCAATTTAAGACTGATAACTGTCCGTAACTATACAGGATGTACCAACTAAGTGACGACAAACTTTAAGGGGTTGTTCTATGCCTCAAAACAATCAGAACCAAAATCCTCTAAGATGCGTGGTTCTCAAGTTACGAGGAGTTCAATTTTTGAAAAAAAAAAAAAAAAAAAAAAAAAAAAAAAAAACCGTGCGTGTTCAGTTATGACGTCACAGTGGTTATCCTAATTTTTGGAATCCAAAAACAATTATTGTGGTTTTTTAAAATACTCATCAAGAGCTTAAAAAAATGTTCCTTCGATTTTTTCGTAAAACCCTTCCTAATGAAGTTATTGACCGCTAAAAAAAAACACCGTTTTACCGCACAACCTGACTTACCTTATTTGTGACGTTCGGTAATGGTATTTTTTTAGCGGTCAATAACTTCGTTGGGAAAGGTCTTACGAAAAAAACGAAAGAACCTTTTTTTAAGCTCTTGATGAGTTCTTTATGAAATCACAGTTGTTTTGGGGTTCCGACGAGTAGAATAGCCACTGTGACGTCATGACCGAACACGCACGGTATTTTTATTTCAAAAATTAAACTCCCCGTAACTCAAGAACCTTGCATCTTAGAAGATTTTGGTTCCGGACTCTTCTGTTTGTTTTGAGCCGTAAAACAACCCCTGAAAGTTTGTCGCCCCTTAGTTGGTACACCCTGTGTTATAAAGATATATATATTCCAATAAAAAATTCCACTGTCGCTATTCGGTCATAATTTAGATTATAGTTTTCAGACTTGGAAAATACTACTTATGTTAAACACAGTCCATTTGACCATACAACGAGCTTATGCGCTAGCTTTCAGACTATGTGATTTAGTATTAAATTTTTTCTAAACTTTCGATGGTATCAAAAAGTCAAAGATGGGGCTGAATAATACGAACATGTAAGAAAGAGGAAGATGAGTAACAGTTTGAGTGAATTTTGCCGAAATGTTTCCTCATTCGGTCAATGCCCTAAAATTTCTCCGTATATCACAAACCGTGGGACTCCGAAAAAGAGACAAAAAGTCTTCAATTACGCCTGGGTGAAAGGCTCGTCAATGCTCAGAAACGCCGAAAACTCCCGGTGACTCCTAGACTCAAACCGGTTGACCAGTAACCCGCTAACCGGTTCCCACGGCCCCGGCAAACGACAGCACATAAAAAACGCCGAGAAGTGTAAATAAATTCATCTCCACCCGCATCTTCCATGATGAAGATGCCAGATAGAGCCATTATTTCTTCTTTTGGAGGTTGGCTGCGTAGGAGGAAAGGTAAAGTTTATCATAGGAATGGCAACTGCGTTACCGCGTAGATAGTTTGTATATGAGAGCGTAAATTTTTGCTTTTAGGTTGGACGGGAGTTTATGGTGATTCGAGACCGTGACTCTGAGCAGGAGGTTGTTAATGGTAAATACGGTCTGTTTGACCGTTTTGTTGGGTGAGTTACTCATTACGCGGCACGTATTCCGCTATTCATGCCAAGGACCGTGCGAATACAGTGCCCTTGAAAGATTTCTCCAGTTCTCGACGGGTTGAACTTGAAAAGAAGGTTTGTGTTAACATTGCTTTCTTCCTCTGACTCCTGTAATATGTGCCACAGATAATTTATTCTCCAGGAAGTGGCAAGTGGCCCGGACTAGAGTCCCTTTATATCCAGAATTAAGACAACTCGAGTCTAGCTGGACTTAAAGTGGCCTAATAAAATTCAATTTTGATTGGTTCGCTCATTGTGTCACAAAAGTGTGCGCGAAGATGGCAGTGTGGCTCCAATTTGAACAAAAATAATGAAGACATAACCTAGTTGTGATTTATCAAAAGTGCATAAATATTTTCATCTCACCATTTTTTTTTCTTTTCTTTTCTTTTTTTTCTTCATGAAAATAGATTAAGAAATTATTCACAAATAAATCTCATTTTACTTTATTGTAATTTATTTGGTAAGGTTTTGGTGGGTTCTGTTGATGTTGTTGTTATTGGATAACAGACATCGCAGGATTCTTTATCCTTATCCCTTAATATCGTTTATTTGGGTACACACTTTTGTGACAACATGGCCAACCAGAACTGAGTTGTCTTAACTCTGGGTATGAAGGGACTCTAACCAGGACGAGCCTATTTGCATATTGTTTCGTAATAGGATGGATAGAGGTTTTTCAATGCTTTTTTACGAGTGATGGCATGTATCGAAGGAGATGGGTACTTTCGTAAAGTATAACCAGGAATATGTTGCACTATTTCAGGTCATCCTCAAGGACCAATCTGACTGACCTTATTCATTTGTATTTTTTCTGAGATCCGCGGAACATAAAAGTTGTCCGACTTTTGGCAATGCTAATTGTACACTCAAAAGTTGATTCCCTGCCGAGGAGTTGACTATGCAATTTCTACGCATTCTCACTGATCATCTGTCTTGCAGCCCATTTCATCATCGTAATATGCACATATGACGTGAAATTGCAATGACAAAAAAAATAAAAAAATAGATAAATTAGGTGTAAGGGGGCAAAGTAAAGTTGAGAACAAAGTTAAGAATTTTACACTTTCCATATCTTACTCCAATCCTGTTTGTGCATCTTCTGATGAGGTATACAATTTTTGTTTTTCATATTCTTCCGCATTTTTCTAATCGTTCTGACATTCATTATGGCCTTGACTTTAAAATAATTCATTTTAGTTAATGTCGATAAAGTTTAAACTATACGGTTACCAATTTTACTAAAAAATTTAAGCCTTCCAACTGGTGGAGTGCTGAAGAATAAAATATTTGGAAATTCGCAACTTTTTCGTGTATATTTTTGCACAATCAAAGAAGAAAAAAGAAACAAATAAAATTGAATTTTCAGAAAAGTTATGCAGAATTATAATCTGTAAAATTCCTAAACAAATGACATAGATAAGCGGCCGTCGTGTTGAGCCGCTTACCCCTCATTACTGTGTTACCTACCCACGGCCTAATCGCAACAAAGATACCTACATGAAACAATAATAATTAATATGAGAAAATCGCGAAAGACGTGCAAATAGCGTGAGCTCGGGCGAAACTGGAGCGGAACGGACCAAGTCTGAGGCCCTGTAAAACGGTACCGAAGCCGGCGAGATATAATTAATGAACAACGACACATAAAAGTGAGGTAGAACGGCCCGAATAAATGTTAATGAAGATATAAAGACGTAGCAAAGCAAGAAAAGTATAATAAAAGAGTGATTAAGCCACAATTTAATTACGGGCGATGGCCGTATTTCACGGAGCGCGGCCCTGTTACGGGCTAGGAACATGTGCGCAAGGAAACATAGCCTCTAACCCAAAACCACGCATCTAACAGCAAATTTTGACTGCAGTCACGCGGTTTTTGCTAAACATGGAGATAGCTACGAAAATCTAACCCCCCTTCCTCCCGCCCTTCTCCCCCACCTCCCCACCCCTCCACCCCTCTCGTGAAAGCTTGGAATTAAGAGTTGGTTCATTAGCATGTTTCCGCGACTCGAAACCACTTCCTCGGTACCTCGCTTCGTCGGTGCCAAATTTGACTGAAAACTCTTTTTTTATGAGTGAGACTAAAGCGTAAACTTTTGAGATCTGCAACCCTGGGCTCCACAGCTGTATAAGTGGCTTTAATTTCAGTTTTTCCTCGCGCTAGGGATGGTGATAACAGTTAGGTAGACGTGCCTTGTTTGAAAACATCAAGAATAACGGGATGTTATGTTTTTCCTACTGTTAAAAGATCTTTAATCAATGATTACTGGAAAATTGGAAGGTCAAACAACCAACAATAATATTTCTAATCTTTTGTTTTCTTTTAATTTTTCCTCGCCTTCAGAATGCTCTGGTATTGCAAAGTTGGAACTTAATCATGTGTTCTGTGATTTTGAAGAGCAAAACAAAACAGTGGCCCGTTTTTGTTTTTGCAAAACAAAAACGGGCCACTAAACAAAGGTCTAAACTAGATAAAAACCTCGCATGTTATCTCTTCACATCATGCGTAAGAAACTGTATACACAACAGGGCCTTTGGGTATCAACTCTTGGACGAGATATTAACAACTCTCTCTAAGCCAGATCAAATGAAAGTTCCATTATAAAAATGACGTCATTTGTATTTTTGTCACCAAGCCTATGTTAATAAATTGGACTGCATTTTGTAATTTTGAACTATAAATTCTGGATCATCTGAAAAAAACGCTTACGTGCAGATGAAAACTAATGGCCATACGTTGTTTTTAAACCGGGTCAGAATTTATAGTTCCAAATTGCAAAATGCAGTCCATTTGATAACACTTAAGTCTTGTTCAGGAGTTGCCTTTCAGACTTGCTGTTGTTTCATTCGTTTTCCTTGTGAAATCTTGAAAAGAAAACATGTGGTATTGTGCCAAACATCATACCTTGTGTAGAGGCCCATTCTGTGCAAATTTTGACGTAAATTTCCTAAATATTTTATTGTTTCAACTGATTGTGAGTCATACCGGACCAAATAAAATTTTAGTACACGTTCCTAGTCGGCGCTTTTCTCCTCCCTAAAAACGGTACGGAAGGCTTGGAAGCTCTCTTTAAGAGACATTTTATCTTGGAAAAATCCTCTTATCAAACACGATTCTGTCTTACCAAACACCAAACGATTGTTTCCAAACCACTTGATTCCTCATATTAGTACAGGAGATGATGAGTAAGTAAATGCTTGTAAGTTGGGATGTAATTCGCTTGTACTGGTGTTCGTATATTGGCGAGAGGGTGTCGTTAGGCGCGTGGCTCTGTTGACATTTGAAGGAGTCGGACGTTGGGCCGGTGGGTGCTGCTCCCGCTCCGCCTTTTATCACAACATTAATAAAACATTAATTGTGCGCTCA